GGAGGGAGTTTGGGAGCGGAAGGGGACTCAGGGCTGAGGCAGGGGGTTGGGTTGCCGGAGCGGGGAATGGGTGTGGGCTCTGGCTGGTGGCACTTACCTCTGGTGGCTGCTGGAAACAACCGGCATGTCCGGCTCCTAGGCTCAGGTGTGGCCAGGTGGCTCTGTGTGGTGCCCCTGCCTGCAGGCACCGCCCCCGCAGTTCCCATTGGCCATTGTTCCTGGCCAATGGGAGCTGCAGAGTTGACACTTGGAGCAGGGGCAGTGTGCAGAAACCCCCTGGCGGCCCAAACTAGGTCCTCCTGACATGTGACCCTTTTTCTTTGGTCTCATTCAACATCCTACAATAAGACTATTACAGACATAAACAGTATGTGCTATAGATGGTATCCTGACCTAGCAGCCAAAGAAAGGGTCACCTGCTGCTGCAGGGATCAACTGTGCAAGTTTGAGGAAATCTGGGATCCATTTTTAGAAACATTTGACTATGGAACACTTGAAGGCCCAGTGGCCAGTCTAGAGCTCCTCCTCCCCTTTCTCCTTCCTGCCTTGTCTGTGTTGTTGCCATGATAGTTGCAAAGTATTAACTTATTTGATTTTATATTTTTTATTTGAGTTTAATGTGAAGGTTGTTAAAATGGTTTTTGGATATAGGTTACAGGTGATACTTTTAAAGTTGGTAACTTTCATTTTTTGGTTTTCTTTTTGTGTTGTGTTAAGGAAATTACTTCAGTTTTGGAATGGTTAGTGATCAAACAAACCAACTTAATTAACCTTGAGCTGAAAAATGGAAAGCTTTCACTGTTTAGGAAACTGTCTTACAAAGCATGCTATTAACTTTAGATCTTGTTGAATTCATGAATACAAGGCCTTTGGTTTGTCTTTATTGAGTGCAAGCACCTTATTTACAATTTCTGATTAATTTAATGGCTGAAGGTATGTATTAGAATTTGCAAATATACATCCTAGATGTTCAAGACACATACAGTGGATGTACTTTAAAAGTTCTCTATTTTTTTTAATACTACAAGCTGTATCACACATTTTAAACATATAGGGAATACTGCTCTCTACAGGAAATACCTTATTGAAAGCTAAAGAGGGCCAGGACTCTTTATGGCTGTCCTTGTATGTGACCCACTAGTGCCTTTATAAGGACACTAGTCATCTAGTCAGGGAACAGAACCACAGTTATGGGTTTTGAGGCTCAAATACCAACACTGGATACTTTGTGAATAATCCATAGATTGCTGTCACAGGTATAAAATAACCACAAATATGTACAAGGGAAAAAGAGAACAGGGAAATGGGTATTCTTATGAAAGTTCTTCATTGGAGTTACAATACAGACCCGTTTACGTGCGAATCTGCTTAACACACGGTAGCACCATGCCTCCCAGTGCTACCTATTTAACACACGAGACTCGTTAACACATGGTACAGGAACTTGCTATGTAGCGCTACAGATTTGCTCACTAACTCACTGACATAGAAATCGACTGGAAGTGCGGAGCGGAAATGTGTTGTACATCTTTACCACCAACGGGGGTGGGGAGGGGGGAAAAGGGGCAGCAACGTTAAAGCAGCACTTTAAGGACAGTCCTTTGCTGTGGCAGTGCTGGGCCGCTGACGGGGGGGAGGGGCAAAGGGAGCAGCTGCCCTGGGGCTGGCGATTTAAAAAGGCCCGGGGCTCCGGACGCCGCTACCGCAGCAGCGGTGTCCGGAGCCCCGGGCCCTTTAAATTGCCACGGGAACCCTGGGCAGCACAGACCAGGCGGCCTAGAAGGGCTGGCTGGGGGATGCTGACCCCTAGCCCTACCCCTTCTGCCCGAGGCCCTGCCCCTTCCGGGGGCCAGAGCCACCCCCACCCTGTACCGGTAAGTGTCCTGAGTTACTTTCATCTCTGTGTAGTAGTAGTAATGTTTTTATTAGATTACACATCTGAATTTATATTCTTGCAAAGCACCGTTAACAGATAGGCCTGCTGTATTTGGGATGCTGTGAATACGTATGTAATCCTAGATAATTATACATGTATATAGAGATATCTTAAGATATTTGAGCATAGCCCTCTTAACCTGCGGTCTGTTAACATGCGGTTGTGACGGTTTGACTCCCGACATCTGCGTGTAAACGGGTCTGTACTGTATTCCTATTTTTTCTTTTTAAAGGAATATTTGGGTTACCCATGATATCTTTTCTTGTGTTCTTTTATTGGTGTTAGGAGGACAAATTGGAACTTATTTAACTTTTGCTTCTGTTCAGAGAGTCACTGCTGCTGTAGTGTTAATTTATGACCATGACTCAGAATAAATATACTGATCTGTCCTGTCCCAGATATACGAGTGACACTGTGTGGTAAAGTAGATAAGGCAGAGAGACTTTAAGAGCAACATAAATCTAAAAGTGGTCTCTTGTTTATGGTGCCCCTTTTGCTTTTGCATAGCCAGTTTTAAATATTGTACAACTTTGAAGTCATACAGTGAGAGAATGTATTTTTGGGAGTCCAGATAAAGTTTGTTTATCTAGCTGCAAAGGCCTGCAAGAGCTAACAATTAGATGCACCACTTTTTCTCCCCCACTGGAACTTTTACAGGATCTTATACCAAAGGTGCTTTACTTGTGAAAGACAATGATGATAGAAAAGCCATTCTCTGTCACCTTTTTCTTAACTCCCATAGAACCAGTTATTACTTGGAAGGAACAATGCCAACCGATAATGAACTATTTTCTATTCAAAGCTGCAAGTCAAATATTCGTTTCTCATTAATAATTCAATGTGACAAATTTATTACCTTGAAGGTGCTGTGAGGCAATTAGACAATGGGAAATTGTGTCTTCCTTTCAGCCCTCTTAATTGGCTTTCCAGTGTGACATTCATCAAAACCTTGACTTTTTATGTAAACTTTCCATTGTGTGAGACATGGCCCTGACCCTGCAACTGTGCATGCTTGGCAAAACTCAACTGGGGGTACATTCACTACTTTTTTTTTTTAATTTGAGAGGGAGAGAGAGAGAGAGCTTGTGAGTCTCCCAAAAGCCTAATTAAAGTCAATGGATAAATTGCATTGGCATATTATTGCTTGGTACTTCCCACGTAATAAAATGGTCCATAGTTACTATGCAGATTGAGTTATGGTTATTTGTGCTCTGTCAATGAATATGTTACAAAACTGCAGGTGAAATTAACATATTTATCCTTTTCAGTTTTATGTATTGTTTGGGATAGAACAGAATAGGATTTGGTTTAAATAGCATCTTTCATACCCCAGGTGTCTTAAAGCACTTTACAAAGTAATGATACGATATTTAAGAGTGACAGAAGGGAGAGTACCTTCCTAACAAGCTCCCAAGGGCAAACAAACCATTTTTGAACACTGGATTTTATCTTTTTTGGCCCTCTTTTCCGAAGTTACTGACTTCAGTGTTGACCTTTAAAAGACTGCCATATGAGCTCTTGAGTCTGAGGTGCAGCTCTGAGTATAGTAATTTGTTTTGCAGCTGTTGCATGTGTGTTTCCAATTGGTGACATTCACATTTCTTTTCTTTTGTTATTTATGTGGATTTCTTTTGTAACCTGTAACTGATTTGTTTATGGCTACTGTCTTTCAAGAACACTCTTGGAAATGGAATCTTCAGCTTCAAAGGCTTGATTTGTCCTTGCAAACTCAAGTACAATCAAAAACAGTATAGCAAGTATCTCTCAAGGTGTGCAGAGGTCAGTGATTTATTCTTCTCTTTATTCAGTCATAATTATGGACATGATTATGTCATGGTGGTCAACACTGTCACGGAATCTGCAAAATTTGCCATTTATTTCAGTTTGACCATGAAAACAACAAGAATGCCTTGAAATGTGCCATTCCATCCCTGTAAAACTGTTTTTAATTTTTTGGGGTAAGAACTAGAAGTATATGTAAAAAAAAGAAGAAACGAAATAAATTCGCTAACATTTGTTTTCATTCACCAATGCTCCCTTTGTTTACAGTCAATCACCTAGCAACAGTAACTTTAAGGATGTTACATCATGCAGCCTTCATGGAATTTCACATGTAAGAATCACGCATGTTGAAATTAATTTAGTTTAAAGTGATTCATTTGAAATAAGAACAGCAGCAAACAAACAAAAAAATGAACAAAGTGGCAAAATTAAGTGCTACGCAGTCAGCAGAGCCGTACCCTAAAACATTTTATGAAAATGGAGGAAAGTTGTTTTGTACGTCATGCAATGTACCTTTTGATTTTACAAGAAAGGCCAGCTGTGATAAGCATCTTGAAGTGCAACTCATACGTGAAAATAAGAGGCATTACAAATGGGCAAAGGTAGAAATTTTAAAAAGCAGAAAACAGCTACAGAGCTGTTTAGTACCAAGACCGAGGAGCAGCTTTACAGGAGGAATGAAATGTTCAAATTAACAGAAACTTTCTCTGCTGCAAATACACTTCTGCATACCCTTGACAGTCCAAAACGGAGAGGGTTTTTAGAGAACAAGGTGGGTGTTATACCAAGTGCAGATCAACTTAGAAAGTTTTAACTACCTGAAGAGTTTGACTGTCACATTGAAGAATTAAAGGAAAAGTTGCCGCCCTGTGAAGGAATTAGCATTGTGGCAGATGAAACTACCGAAGCTGAAGACAGGTATGTGCTTAACATTCTTGCCATCTGTGGTGGGGTGTCTGCCCCATCCCCATGCTAGAGGGGGTTGCAGCAGGCCAGTGCGCCTGTGCAGGCTGGCAGCCAATAAATAAAGGGCTTACTGGGGGCCAATCAGAGCCAAGATTGGAGACAACCAATCAGGGCTCAGCTTGGCCCTATATAAAGGATGCCCAGGAAGGGAGCAGGGAGTCTGTCCCAGACCTTCAACAGGGGAAGGTCTGTCTCCAGAACTGGGAGACTAGCACCGTGGACAGCGCAGTGCTGGCCAGGCTCGGGGAGCAGAAGGGAGCTCTAGCCCGTAGCCTGCTAGGCTGCAGGCCCTGAAGGGAAGGGCCTAGGGAACTGGACAGATGAGGGGAGAGAAGGAGGACAGCGAGGCTGCCGCCAGAGGGTCCCTGGGCCGGGACCCAGAGCAGAGGGCCGACCTCGGTCCCCCCCTTCCACCCCTTACAATACACCCAGCCATTGGCCGTGGGGAGCAGCCATCACAGACTACATCAGATCCCTGACAGGAGGGATTAGACTTTGGGGGTGTGGTTGGACATGGTAGCTGGGGTGTAGAAAGACTGCTGATCATCCCCCCCCCAGAAGGGGGTGTGGACGAACTAAGGGGCACTACTGGAGGGCAGTGGTTCTGAAGAGGACGCTGCGAGCTGAAGAGCAACGTGGGCTCAGACGCCAACCAAGGGCGAGACAACAGGCAGGACACCACCAGGAGAGGGCGCTCCACTGGACTGAGCTAATTCCCGGAGACACCAGCAGGAGGCGCTGCGGCGGTGAGTCCCAACCCTGTCACACCATCCCCGTCCCAACAAGAAGTGACAATTCCGGCACTTCAGATGCAGGTGAACACAAGCTGGATGATTTTTTGTTACATTGTGAAGCTTTGGAAGCAATCAATTTTAAAACAGTCAGCAAAGCAACACGGGAAACTGTTGAAAAATTTGCAATACCATTTGATTGCATCACTGCAGTTGTGACTGATAATGCCATGTACCTGGGGAAGGCTTGGCATCGAGTTTTGAAACCTTTGTTTTTAAATGCTGTACACCTTACATGCATGGCACATTTGCTTAAGCTTTGGGCAATCTGTGCAGGAAGATACTCTTGAAAGTAATTGAATTAGTTGTGGCTGTAAAACGTGCTTTCACGGCCTGCCCTGCCAGAAAAGCCTGGTTCTGCATGTTTCTAATGGAAAGAGGGAAAAGTCCTTCCATTCCACCAACCCCCATAATAACCAGATGGAACAGCTGGTTCAATGCAGCTATTTATGACACTGAACACACTGAGGATTATGTTTCATTTTTTTACAGAGGAGAATGGTCATAGAAGTAGTTCAGGTGTTCAAGAGTTTGTTGATCTTTGCCAATCCACAGCAGTTATTGAAAAACTCCAGGCTCTAAAAGAGTTTGCACCCCACTCATGAACATGCTTCCAGCTGTTGAACCACCCACAGTTTGTGCTCATCAAGTCAAAAATGACATGGAGCAGTTCAAGAATTGAGGAACGAGGACGTATTCCTGTTCTGGAGAAGCATGATGGCCAGATTCCCGCTCAGTGAGTACAGTAGAACCTCAGAGTTACGAATACCTTGGGAATGGAGGCTGTTCATAATGCTGAAATGTTCGTAACTCTGAACAAAACACGATGCTTGTTCTTTCAAAAGTTTACAACTAAACATTGACTTAACACAGCTGTGAAACTTTACGATTCAGAAGAAAAATGCTGCTTTTCCTTTTTCTTTAATAGTTGACGTTTAACACAGCACTGTGCTGTATTTGCTTGGTCTCTGCTGCTGCCTGATTGTGTATTCCCGGTTCCAAATGAGGTGAGTGGTTGACTGGTCAGCTCGTAACTCCGAGATTCGACTGTAGTTGCCCTGTAAGGCTTAGCAGTACCAGTCTATACTGTGGATGACATACACTCCTCCTTATCTTGTACAAATGTGCTTGGGGACAACAGACTGCACATAAAAAATAACAATCTGACTATATATAACTTGTTATACCAAAATTGCAACAGTTTGCAAAAGGGACTCTACTAAAAAGAATCCGTTATTTTTGTTTTTTGAAAAATGATTGCACAATATGCATATATAATTTCAAAATAGTTTGCTTTAACAAGGAAATTAAAACTATTGCATTAATGTTTTGTTTTGCTTAAATGTTACACTGTAATACTTTGTTAAATTTTTACATATTTTTTGTTGCCGTGACCAGACCCTGATTTTGTACGTTTCCGTAAATTTTGCCTAATTTTACCATGACAAAATGGTATCCATAATCATAATGAATTTTATTAATTGAAAACACTTGCCTCTGGCATCTTAGCATACTTACAATGCAAGTTGGAAAATAGTTTGCAAAGCTATATCCTGTTTACTCTTCCTATATGTTTGTACTTATTTTTTGTCTAGCAGGCAATGGTTTTTGCACTGACTATATTAAGGGACAACATGTATTTTCATCTGGCACCTCTGGCATTTTGCCTCTGCCCCCCGTGAAGTTGATGGGAGTTTCATCTTTTGATGGGAACAGAACCAGGCCTAGAGAATTATGGGTCAGATAGTTAACCAATGTAAATTAGTGTAGTGCGATGAAATGCTGATTTATTCCTGCTAAAGTTCTGGTCCTAGATACCTGTTTTCTTTACCAACTCCTTAGGGTTAAGAGACCAAATACACATGCACACACACTTTCATATTCACACACAATTTACATTTACAGATCTGTGATTCCTAAAAAAATAATTAAAACATGAAATCTTTCCAAATACATGGGATGTACACAATTAAACTTGGCATTTAATTTAGGAAAAAAATCCCGTCGGGCCTAGCGTACTGATAAGGGGAAGACCAGCCTTCTGATTTTTATGACTGTACAGGGTGTTGGTGCAGAGGCACCTAATTAGCCCCTGCTCAGCCAGCCCCAGTCAGGGGAAATAGATTGGGGCTGGGGAGAAGTCTGGTGCCTGTCCTTTAGAACTGGCGGCACCTGTGGGCCTGAGGGTTCAAGGGCTATAAAGGCTGGCTGGCTGGCAGCCAGAAGGAAGGGGGGAAGGTCAGTCTCTGGGCTGAGGGCAGGGTCTGGGTGGAAGTGGAGATTGTAAGGCCTGCAAACTGTATATAGTATGTCACTGGTGGTGGGAGAAGTCTGTAAATAAAGCCACGGGTGCTGCAGAAGGAGAAGCCTCTCTGTGCGTTATTGGGGCAGCCAGTGGGCCCCAGGAAGAAGGCCGGGCAGAGGACCTGTTACCAGGGCCGGCTCTAGGCACCAGCAAAACAAGCTGGTGCTTGGGGCGGCACATTTTTAGGGGCGGCATGGCCGGCGCCAGAATGCCGCCCCTAAAAATGTGCCCCGGCCGCCCTAGCTCACCTCCGCTGCTGCTGCCACGGCGCGCGAAACAGCTGATTCGCGCGCC